AAGCCCGGGAAATTCAAATCCCAGGCTTCATTAGCAAGTGCGGTATGCATACATTACCCCGCTAGTTTGAACTAGCAGGGTAGTGTAGACATACCCTGATTTATTCCAGAGGTGTTGTGGAATCTCAATCTGTGGAGATATTTCAGAGCAGATAGGACAGATACCTGTCAGGGATGGTTTAGATGGTGCTTGGTCCTGCTATGAGGGCAGGGGACTGGACTCGACCCCTCGAGGTCCCTTCCAGTTCTAGTGTTCTAGGATTCTGTCTCCCCCTTCATCCACATAAATCCAAGCAATCCCTGGGTTAATCTAAGGGCAGATCTTGGGCTCAGACCTCCCATGGTCCTAAAGCCTAGTGTGCATGCCGAGCCCATACATCTACACCACAATTTAACAGTCCCTCTGTCCAGCCCCTTAGCCTGAGCTAGCTGGGTTGGGCCGCCATCAGGTTTCTAACTGTGGTGTAGAGAGATCCCAAGGAAACTGGGTTGCTCAGGACTTTCCAAGGCTTGCTTAGCACCTAGAAGTTCCAGGCCAATGAACGGGAGACACGTTGATAAATACTCTCTGCCCATGTCTGCAGCATCTCAGTCTGTCCCTGTGCAGCACAGATGGGCACTGACCTGCTACGGAAACCGCTGACTCTCTGCCCTGGTCAAGTCGGGGGTTCCAGACGTGGCAGGACACTTTCTGGTTGGACATGTCTGTTAGAACAGTGGCAATCTCTGTTTGAAACAGGCCACCAGCTGCTTGGGAGCTGCTTTCTGAGGCTGATGGTAAGAGCTGCCCCTGCTGGTCTCTCCACTCAGCTTCGGGCTGTGGGTACCATCCAGATGATCGACACCCCAGCTGGACCCCTCCATCCCGATGTCCCTCCAGAGAGATGTCAGGATCAGAGCCCATACCTACAGAAGAAATAAATGAACTGGTGCTAATCCTACAGTGCACAGTAATGAGCCAAAAACTTTATTACAGTGTTATCGAAAACGGTTTCCTGTTAAACTAGTAAACAAATGTGAGTCCATGAATATGGTTGCTCATTTAATCTGATTAGTCTAATTTGACACACAGGAAAATAAATGTTAATGTTGGAACTTTTCTATGCACAATTTTTCTCCAGTTTAGTTAAAATGATTTAGTTAATGAAGTGCAGATTCCTTGGTGGACACTTTTAAATCAAGAAGCAATTGACTCAAGCTAAATCAATATAAGCCATTTCCAAACCCATTTAGGTGACCACACAGAGGTTTGCACTGGTTCATTGAAAGTAATGCCCTTGTACATGTATACAAGCCTTGAATTCATTCACAAATCAATAGCCTTGTAATAGGAGATTTTGAGTTGCCTTGCATCCTTCCAGATTGCTGAAGAGAGCAGCACAAACACACACATAAGAAAGAAGGAAATTAAGGGTTAAGGTCTTGTGTCCCTCACCACTTCACTCTGGGTATGTCTACACTACCACCCTAGTTCGAACTAGGGTGGTTAATGTAGGCAACCGAAGTTGCAAATGAAGCCTGGGATTTGAATTTCCCCGGCTTCATTTGCATCTTGCCGGGCGCCGCCATTTTTAAATCCCCGTTAGTTCAGACTCCGTGCCCGCGGCTACACGCGGCATGGAGTAGGTAGTTCGAATTAGGCTTTCTAATTTGAACTACCGTTACTCCTCGTCATTTGCATCTTACCAGGCGCTGCCATTTTTAAATCCCCGCTAGTTCGGACTCCGTGCCCGCAGCTACACGCGGCACGGACTAGGTAGTTCGGACTAGGCTTCCTATTCCGAACTACCGGTAAACCTCATTCCACCCTGAGATTTTTGGATGGATCTGTTCCTCAGCATGTACATGATAAAGCTGTACTGCTGTCTCTAGATAACCAGCACATAAATGTAATTCCCTATGATTTTTTTGCACAGATGTATTTAAACTGATGCAAATCCCTAGTCTAGATTTGTTGGATTATTGTAGAAAGTAACTTGCACTAGTGCAATTTACCTTGATGCCAGTCATTTGTTAATATGTATTTTACTGCAGTGTGCTTATACTACAGCGGGGGTGGGAAACCTTTTTTGGGTCGGGGCCATTGACCCGCAGAAAAATTAGTCAGGGGCTGCATACAAGTGAGAAGCAAAAAACAACAACAAAAACCCCTCACTGATGTAGCCCCTGACTGAGAAGAACAACACTCCCTACATTTCCTTTGGACATCTGAGCCTAGGCGGTAGCCAGGTAGTAGCTTCTGTGTGCTCCAACCCCACAGTGGTGGGAGGGTTGGAATGCCAGTACAAGCTCCCAAATGCTGGTGGGGGGGAGCCCTGAGCCACAGGGGCCGCATCCGGCCCCCAGGCCTGAGGTTCCCCACCC